TGATTACTAGCCTGACCCCTAGTTTGTCCATTATTTTGCATAGGCTGTTTATCTCGAGTCGATCTATGCTGAAGAGAATTCATGTTTTCTTTAGCGTGCCTTACGACAGTTGGTTGATGAGAGTTCATTCGATCTATAATGGATGTCACCCATTTTTTCATTGTATACATTAGTTGTTGTCCCATAACATCTACTAAACCTCCCCATGGATTCATTGGTTGGGTAGAATGGGCAGTTGATGGTCCAGTTTCATGGCCCTATCCAGTATTTTGGACATGTGTCGCATATTCTGTAGTGCTGGTCTGTTCGATCATTTGTGGAGGATCTGATGGGACAGGTGTATCCATAGGATGTGATATTATATTATCTTCTGGGTTAGGTGCTTCTATCTCTCCTTCAACACTTTCTTCCAGGTGTTCATTTTTTCCTTGTCTCCTACGTCTAGCCATTATTTATAGTTCCACTAGGCGTGCCAAAAATATATGTTGGCTTTTTTGGACTTTCGAAGGTTAATAATGTAATTTTAAGTGTGCTAACAAGGATCAATAAGTCCTTACAGAAATTTTAATTGCCAACCAATTATCAGGCGATTGTGTTGAAATTCTTTCAGTTTCAATGAAAAGGACTTTTACTGATGGCTTTGCTTAAGAGACGGTTTTAAAGATATGGAAAATAACAATAGATAAAAATAGTTTTATGAACTGAATTTCATTAAATAATAAGAACCTTCAATGACCTAGTCTCAAAGAGGTTCACAGCAACAAATTACTCCTAAGAATTGAGGTGCAGTACAAGAATTGAAGAACTGGGAATATAAAAATTGGAAAGCAAAATATGAAGTAAATAACTGGTTTCTGGATCTGAGTCTAGGTTCTTCTTTTGTTGGCCTTTTCTTCTATTTATACTCTCGAATGGTAATCGTCGAAGTAGGTTTCTTACCATTGAAATGCCCTTCCACGATCTGTAGTCATGGCCTCGCATAGTTAACTTCCGCTATACCATTCTTGCAATTAGGCTTCCCTCATGAATTTGAATTTGAATTGTGAGTAACTGTTGGGCCCCGTCATCTTGCGCCTTTTAACTGCTCCCGTGCTACGCAGATTCATTATTACCAATGTGAACTGTTACGTGTCTGTCGTTGATTGGAGACTTGCATTAACTCCCCAAATTACCCTTTACGAGCCACGTGTTAAGCTGCAATTGGCTTATACAAAATATATAGCCAACAGCCGCAAAAAAACAACCGATGATGCTTCTTCTCTCACAAACCACAAAAATCTCTCTCTCTCTCTGTACAGTCTAGTTTCTCTCTCTACCTCCCACTCTTCACTTGAGCTTTAACAATGGCAGAACACGACCCCATCACTCCTCTACTACTCAAACACCGCCTCTCTCATCCCTCCTCCGACGAGCCTCAACTGATTATACCCGTGGACGACAATTGGGGTTCCGAAGAAGAACCCCCAAATCGACTTCACAACTACGAAACCAATTAGATTAGCAATACCCATTCAGCGAGTCTGCACCCATTTGAGTTTCTCAGTGCTGGACCTCTCTCCATGCCTTCCTCAACCACTATTGATCCCTTTCGTAACCACAAGCCACAAATTGAAGGGGTTTATGAGTGGTTGAAGATCCTCATTTGTGTGCCTATTGCAATTGTTCGGCACCTGTTGTTCGGGTTGTCTTTGTTGATTGGGTATGTGGCTACCAAGTTTGTTCTTCATGGTTGGAAGGATAAGCAGAACCCAATGCCCAAATGGAGGTGTAGACTCGTGGGTTACTCGAATTTGTGGTCGGTGTATTCTCTTTTCTTTTGGGTAAGTCAATTTGGGTTGATAATTGAGTTTCTTTTTAAGTGTGTGGTGGATACATATTTATGATTTTATATGAAAGCATTTATCTTGCAATTAGATTGTGAACATTTTTAATTTATTTATTCATATATGATATTATGGGCCAATGAATTATAATCATAATAAAGATCAAATACATCACAAGAGAGATTATTTAATGCTCCTGGAGCATTGCTTTGTTCCATTTACGGATTGACTATTAACACTTTGTCACCTAAAATTCTAACACAAAAGTGATGAGTTCCATGATTTAGACCAATAACTACTAATTTGGAGCACCACCTAGACTTGCTCCAGGAGTATTGTACAATTTCTCCTCGTAAAGTGGGAGAGCAGGGATGGAGCGAGGAGTCTTCAATCAGGGGCCAGAAGGAAGGCACGGGCGAATTTTGAACAGGGGAATGGTGGATTGGGTTGAGTGTAAAAGGATTAGATATTAATTAAAATATAAATCAATATAAGACAATAAGCCTAATAAAAAAGTTATGGATGCCTAGTCTAAAGTTACATATGATATATCACTTTTTATAAGCTTAGTTTGGACAGTTTATATATGTATATATATTATCTTGAGAATGTACTTTTTAGTTTTAGTTTTAGTTTCTGTTTTTGTTTTTGTATTTGTTTTTTTATAATTATCAATTTGGGCAAACTTAACTTTACCCCCTGTGTTTTGGGTTAGGTGCGGATTATCCCCCTGACATTTGAAAATCACCACATATAACTCTTACGTGGTTTGTGGACCAAAATGCACGCTAACTTCTGTTAACAGAACATGTAAATTGACTATTATACCCTCATCTTCTTACTATTCTCTCTTTGAATTAAACCTACAAATATATATCAACTATATATGTATATCTATATGCGTTAATCATACCCTCATCTTGTTGATTTAGAGCTTACGTTCTCCCATGGATGCCATTGCCAACTTTCAACCCATGATAGCTATATATGTGTGTGTGTATATATATTATAATTAAATTAAAATTACTTTTATAACAGTAGAGAGAGAATCTTAGCGCCAGAGATCAAGTATTTTCCGGTGACTCTACTACTCCGGCCTAACTTCCACAATACGAGCATTGTCCCACCTGTTTGGTCCTGAGACCGCCACTCCTCTTCCTCTCCGGATCCAAATTCCCCGCACTCATCCTCCGGCAAGCCATTCTAGAGAGAGGAGAGAGAAAAAAAAGTATTGTAGAGAGAGTGGAAACACGGTTTGCAATGACTTTCTCCATTTCAGCTCAAATATGAAGATCACAAATATATATATATATGAGAATTTGTGTATATGATTGAAGAAACAGAGAGTTGTGTTTTGTGGAACATGTGATTGTGTGTGTACCGGTGTTGGTTAGGGTTGGTGAGGTCTTCTTCACTAGCTCTCTCTCTCTCTCTCTTTCTTTTTCTTTTTCTTCTCCTTCTTTGTCTACGATTTTCTGGTGATTGGGGATTCTCTTCAGATGCAGAGAGGGGACTGTGCTAAAATGCGCCAACATTAATCAGGAAAAAGGGAGGGTTGGAGAAACAACCTTGGTTTTAGTGAGAATTTAAAGATGTGTTTGTTCAAATAATTTAAACAACCTTGGTTTTGGAGAAACAACCTTTTTTCATAGATGTGTTTGTTCATTCTGTGAGAGAGGAGGAGGAAGAATAATGGCAAGCTTTTGTAAATTTAAAGATCTGTAAGGGGTGTATTTTGGTTATAAAATACAGCTTACTCTCTTCATGGGTGTGTGAACCTCACAGCCTGTTAATTTGGATGGAAAAGTGGACGGTGCGTTTTGGTCCACAAACCACGTGGGGGTTATGTGGTGATTTTCAAATGTCAGGAGGGTAATCTGCATGCCGCCCAAAACACAGGGGAGTAAAGTGAAGTTTGCCCTATCAATTTTAAACTTGCACCAAACACGGCTTATGTAATTATTTGAATATTATTCATTGTGCTTATGCTTATAAAGTTTCATAAGTTATCTAATTAAAAAACTATAGAAATTCACTTAAGAATCTAATTTCATTTCTTTAGCAGAATTTTGTTTTATTTTTTAAATATGATTTCATACCAATCAAATGGACTGAATTCTATATTAATTTTTGAGGGTCATAATAACATGAGATTTTTAAATTTTATGGGAGGGCCGGATTGGGTTTGGGGCCCTTTACATAACATACACAATTTTTGAAAAATTGCATGTATATAAAGTTGGAATTTGCCAAACATATTCTGGCCAAACAGGCTAACCTGGTAGATCACAAATTAAAATTTTATTGAACTAAGAAAACACTGGTGGTGATTTGTGGGCACTTTGGAGCCAAACAGTGGCGGAGCTGCCATTGGCCCCGGAGGCGCACGTGCCCTGCTCAAAATTTTCAAAACTCCACTTTTGCCTATTGTTGTAATAACATTTTGCAATTTTATCCTATGAAATTTCATGTATGCCTGTCTAAATTTTCAAAGCCCTTCTTTGAAAAACCAAAAACACAATTCATGCAATGTATTCAATGTTATGTTTTTATCATGGATTTGTTAAGAGAAAATATTGAAAAAATAAAGTAAAATAAGTTTTTAAGTTTTTTCCCCTCTTTTTTGGTTGGGTTAGGAAAATTAAAAGATGCTCACCATTTGCTTATGTTCAGTTACTCGTACAAAAATAATGTGTATAGGTGACTTTATTTATTCTTTCGTTTTCCGTTCCCTTCACAGTTTCAAGATTCAAACGTAGCATAAATGTGTTGTGTTGATGGAAAGTTCTCTTTTATATTATTTTGCATATTGCATTGTTCTTCGTTTGCAATTTTTAATGCAATAAGAACACTGCATTACATACATGTCGTTTGATCAGGTTCTAATTGGAGTTTTAAGAATTTTTTTTTTGCCTTTAAAATTTGTGAGAGTTTTTGGTTACAGTTAGAATGTTATATCTTCAATGATATTGTGATGTTGTTGACTTTTTCATGCTGATATGGTTGACTTATTTTCCATTTTTATTTTCTCCTCTTTCCTCTCTTACTAGTTACTAGTTACTGTATGTTCACAATTTTGGTTTTCTTTTTTGTTTTGTTTCTTTTTTGTTTGAAACCTTTGAAAAACCAAGTTTGTTAACTGTAAGTTGAATATGATCTTTTCTTTCGACGGTGCAGCTACCATTGGATAAAACATAGAGGAAGACCTGCTCCAAGGGAGACTGCTCCTATAGTTGTATCCAATCATGTATCATATATTGATCCTATTTTCTTTTTCTACGAATTATTTCCCACCATTGTTGCTTCCGAGTCCCATGATTCCATACCTTTTGTTGGAACCATTATCAGAGCAATGCAGGTAATCTTTTATCCATTATGTTAGTAAAGCTTTTTACATGTGTTGTCACACTTATTGGTTTGTCTTGGTGAATTTACTATATCTTTAATTTTCAGATTTATTTTTGTGCATTTGAGTGCAATAAGTGCGTTAACAAATATTGTTTTTTTTATCATTTCTCTATGTTGTTAGGTTGTATATGTCAATAGGTCCTCACCATCATCAAGGAAGCATGCTGTCAATGAAATAAAGGTAGTAAGTTTCTTTGCCTTTACGAACTATTTAGTAAACGTGATTCTTTCTCTTGTGGAACTATGTTGTGAATTCTTTTAGTTATTTAGGAAGATGAATTTATTTAGTAAGCATATGCCATTGTCTTTCCTTGCTTCCGTGTATTTGTTGACTGTTATTAACCAATTGATGATTAAATAAAACTGCTGGCTTTCTTTGTGTACTTTTTCTCTCACAATGCTTATGTTGTAATGTTTTCACTTTTCAATGTCTGTTATGATTTTCTGTGAAATTATGTAAGCAGTTTGCAAATGCTTAGAAAATTTAAACCCTTTTTTTGTTGTTGTAAGAACTAACTTAACAAGTTACAAACAAATATATGCATATTAAGGGACAAAATTTCATTTTGGTGAGCTGCGCTAATAAATATGGAAACTGAAAGCAATGGCTTTTTTTTTTGATAAGCAAAAGCAATGGCTTTTTAATTGTATATATGGAGTTGTTACAATTTTTTGTATGAAAAAAATTCAGATTATTAAGTTTTTCCAATCTATAAGGGATTTGATACAGAAATGTGCTTTCAAGGATCTGAATACAGAGAAAGGCTTCTTCTGATAGATTTCCTCGTTTGCTTTTATTTCCTGAGGGAACCACAACAAATGGAAGAGTTCTCATTTCCTTCCAACTTGGTGCATTTGTCCCTGGATATCCTGTCTAGCCAGTGATTGTTCGCTATCCCCATGTACACTTTGGCCAATCCTGGTAGGAATTTTCTTTAGTTGAAACCGTTTTGGTGTTGTCTTTTGTAATATCTTTACCTTACTTGTATCATATCGCCTTCCATTTTGTTTAGGGGAAATATTGCTTTGGGAATGCTCATGTTTAGAATGTTCACACAGTTTCACAATTTCATGGAGGTATGCTGAGTAAATTTTATTTATCTATAGTTTGCATATACTATAATTTTTATTTTTTTTTGGTAGTAAGGTCTGAGGTGGGAAATCATACTTATAGGTTGCCATTGTGATGCCCTAATTTGCTATTTTTCTTTTGATAACTAACTCACTCTCGCAGATCATCATCAATACTGATTATGCCATCATAGTGTTTCTTGGCTTGAGAGTCGTTTACTAATAGTTTTGTGTAGTTGGTTAGAGAGGACGGTTGATCCGGATATGTTTGCTTTTTTAGATTTTTTTGAATGGTGTTATTGGTTAGGAGTTGTTTGTTCTCTCATTTGGGTTTTTGTGTTCTTTGCATTACCTTGATACTTTTTTAATAAAGTTGGTTTATTTATTTATCAAAAAAAAAAAATACTAATTATGCATCAGCTTAAATGTACATGCATATATATAATTTGAAATTTGGTTACTGCACAACTTGTATGTTGTAAAAAGTTGAATGAGGGCATTTATTAAATTGTACAGGTAGAGTATCTTCCTGATGTTGCACCCCTTGAAAATCAAAAGGAAAATGCTGCCCATTTTGCTCAAAGGGTGAGTCTTCATTATTTGATTAATTTTTTTTACCTTGTTGGTTTTGTAGGTTTAGAGAAAAGAAAGAGTTAGGAAATGAGGTAGACTTCATTCCCTTTTATATTGATAATACTGAGTAATTACAGGAGTGTCATAGGCATAATATAAGGAAACACAAACACACAATCACGTTTTTCCTATTTTAACTTAATTTCTATTCTAACACTCCCCCTTAAGCTGGCGCGAAAATATCTCTCATTCCCAGCTTGTTCAGAATGCCATGAAATGGTTTGCGCCCTAGCCCCTTTGTGAGAACATCGGCTAGTTGGTCTCCAGTCTTCACAAATGGAATACATATGATACCACTAGTGAGTTTTTCCTTGATAAAGTGCCTATCAATTTCCACATGCTTAGTTCTATTATGTTGAACTGGATTATGAGCTATGTTGATTGCGGCCTTGTTGTCACAGTATAGTCGCATGGAGTCATTCTGATGGATCCCCAAGTCTTCCAACAATAGTTTAATCCATAGTAACTCATATACACCTTGAGCCATAGCCCTGAATTCTGCCTCAGCATTAGATCTAGTAATTACATTCTGTTTCTTACTTCGGCGTATAACTAGATTGCCACAAACAAATGTACAATATCTAGAAGTTGATTATCTATCGGTCACAGATCTAGCCCAATCTGCATCAGTAAATGCTTCCACACTGAGATGGCCATGATTTGAGAAATAGAGATCCTTTCCAGGAGAAGCTTTCAGGTATCGTAGGATTCTCATAACTGTCTCTAAGTGGGAAGTTCTCGGAGCATGCATAAACTTACTCACAATACTCATGGCAATGGCAATGTTTGGACGTGAGTGGGATAAGTATATGAGCTTTCCCACTAGTCTCTGGTATCTCCCCCCTGTCCACTGGATCTCCCTCTTGATCCTCACTCAGCTTCTGGCCCGGTTCTAGAGGTGTATCACATGGTCTACCTCCAAGTATTCCAGTTTCCTGTAGTAGGTCAAGTACATACTTCATCTGGCATATGAAGATGCCATCCTTGGACCGAGTTACTTCAATGCCCAAAAAATACTTCAAATAGCCTAAGTCTTTGATTTCAAACTCCTTGGCTAAGTAGTCTTTCAAACGAGGAATCTCCTCCACATCATCTCTTGTCAGAACAATATCATCAACATAGACAATGAGAGCTGTGGTCTTACCATGTGAGGAGTGTTTTACAAACAAGGTGTGATCAACTTGACTTTGCTTAAACCCATACTTCAGCATAGCTTGAGCAAACCTTTCGAACCAAACCCTAAGAGACTGCTTTCAGAGCCTGCATACTTTACCGTTGGACTTAGCATCCGCAAAATCAGGAGGGATATCCATATAGACCTCTTCTGCTAGATCTCCATGAAGGAAGGCATTCTTCACATCAAACTGATAAAGTGGTCAATCCAAATTTGCAGCAAGAGAGAGTAAGATTCTCACAAAATTCATTTTAGCAACCGGTGCGAATGTCTCCTCGTAATCCATCTCTTAAGTCTGAGTGAAGCCCTTCGCAACCAGTCTTGCTTTGTACCATAAGAACCATCTGGTTTGTGTTTTACCGTGTACACCCACTTACACCCAACTGGACTTTTGCCTCTAGGTAACTCCACTAACTCCCAAGTGCCACTCTTGCGGAGAGCTCTCATCTCTTCCATCATGGCATGCTTTCATTCAGGAATAGAGAGAGAATCCTGAAAATTGGTAGGTAGACTCACAGAAGACACTTTAGACAAAACAGTTTTATATGACGAAGACAGATTAGAATAAGAGACCTGATTAGTAATAGGATGCTGAGTACGTGACCTAACCCCTTTCCTATTAGCAATGGGAACATCAAGATCTGAAATATCAGGAATAGGAGCACTAGAATCAGAATTACCTGGATTCTCAGGAGAGGGGTTTGACTCTGGACACTTATCCAGAGAAGAAATTGGCAATAGAGGAAGAAAAGTAGTTTCTTGCATTCAGGTGACTTGCTGTCTGGCCTTGTCCCTGATATAAACTTTGCCTGCTTCCTTTTCCTCAATAGCTGCTGCTGGCTCATCATCCTCTATCTGCGGAAGTGAAACATGAATCTCTTCACACTAAGGCTCCCCTTGAAGGGATGACTGTGATACCGGGGAGGTCGGAAAGTAAGGCTGAGACTCAAAGAAAGTGACATCCATAGAGACAAATCATTTGAGAGTGGGAGGATGATAACACTTATAACCCTTTTTGGTAGCAAAATAAATCAGGAAAACACACTTAAGAGACCTAGGATCTAATTTACCGCGAGTGGACGAATGATTATGGATAAAGCAAACACAGCCAAAAGCCTTAGGAGAATTGTAAAACCCGGAAGAGGTTGACCCGAACAAAACTTGAAGAGGTGTTTGTTTCTAAAGGACTTGGGTAGGAAGACGATTAATCAAATAAGCGGCAGTGAGAACCGCTTCCCTCCAATAGGATTGAGGAACCCGTATCTCAATGGATAGACAACGGGCGACATCAAGGAGATAGCGATTTTTGCATTTTGCAACACCATTTTGTTGAGCGGTATTAGTGCATGAAGTCTGGTGAATAATGCCATGAGTGGCGAAGTAAGTGGCAAGACCAGAGTCAATATATTCTCCTTCATTATCAGAACGTAGAATTTTGACAACCGCCCCAAATTGAGTACAAACCATTTGATGGAAGTTTTGAAGCACAGAAAAGACCTCATTTTTATTTTTCATCAAATAGACCCAAGTGGCCCGAAAACAATCATCTATGAAGGTAACAAACTATTTTTTACCAGTTAAAAAAAAGACACAAAACGGGATGGACCCCATACATCAAAATGAATCAAAGAAAATGAAACGAAACTTTTATTAATAGGAGCAAAAGGGGCTCTGTGTTGTTTTCCAAGTTGACAAGACTCACATTGAAAATCTGACACATTATTTTTCTCAAAAACAGAAGGAAATAAATGTTTAAGTAATAAAAAAGAGGGATGTCCTAAGCGACGGTGCCACAGCCAAATGTCGTCCTTGGTGAATGGTAACGGAACAGATGAATGAGCCAACTTGTCGGTCTGATCCAGAATATAGAGACCATGTTGCTCTCTACCACTGCCAATCCTCTTCCTCGTGATGAGGTCCTAAAAAAGACAATGATCGAAAAAAAAACGTCACGCTACAATTTAAGTCACGGGTAATACGACTTAAGGATAAAATATTAACACCAAAATTTGGAACATGAAGAACAGAGGACAAATGAAGAAAAGAGGTAGCATGAATTAAACCTTTTCCTGACACAGAGGACATAGTACCATCAACAATACGTACTTTTTCCTGACATGGGGAGGGGTTATACTCTGAAAACAAATTAGAGGAGCCAGACATATGGTCGGAAGCACCAGAATCAATTATCCATGGTACAGTCGTATGGGAGAGCAATGCATATGGGAAGAAAGCCAGGTTACCTGAATTGGCAAAAGAAGAAGAGGGTGCACCTGTAGCAGAAGTGGCAAGTGGCAAAGAGC